TACTGGTAGATGAAAACATGAAGTCGGCAGCATTTTCAACCATATGATTTTTAATATCAATTGTCTTGTGAAAATTTCTCGACAATTTCGGATAATGTTCATTTAGAAATAATGCAAAATCATGCACAGGAAATTTCACCTTTCTACCCATTTTGATATGCGATTAACTCATCAAGTCACAATATATTTTCACCCATTACTACTGAACCCACTAATGAGTGGAATACGGAGTGGAATACTGATTACAGTGAATAATGTAGTATGACAACGTAAGAACATTCAAAATGAATCAATCAATCAATCAATATTCTGACTTATCAAAAGGGATCACAAAACTCAAAAAAAATCTAAGAAAATAAACTGAGATGAACATCTGCTTAAATCTGAATAGTACTACAAGAACTAATACATGAATCACTCAATCGTGACAATAATTGTTCACGTGAGGAAGTTGAGTCTAGGTATACATGAATTCCTATACTCCCCCGACTAAACACTATTTAGACAATGAAAAAATGATTTCATGTCGAGATTTTTATATTTCATGAATAAACACACACTCTCTATTTCTTCTGTGCGGAATCGAAAGTGAATAGCAAGTTGTCGTGTAAAACAAACTCGGGAAACAAACGCTGCCAAATATTGAATATAAATTGACGATGAACGCACGTCGCTTGCTGGATAGACGACAGCTTAGATGCAACCGTTTGTTAAATTGCAGAATTGTAATCGATATATCTTTGAAACGGTTGATTCAGTGAAAAAAATATAAGAGACAAAAACGGTGCAAAATAACTAGTTCTATGGTGTACCGAAAAAAAAAACTGAAAATTGATTATTTTGATATCACCTCTACATACCTACTTGAATTAAAAAAATATTAGTCAATTTAATTATTGTTCTGATTTCTTATCGATCCCATTAAACCAAGTATAGAAAAAAGTTGACGCACGTCCATTGGATACAAGGAAATAATTATCTCACGTCTCTCGTACGGCCAACCAAATAAATCTGAACTTTGTTTTGTCTTCTTAACGATACCATACATCTATCTCCTCGAGAAAGAAAAACTTGAGCACATCAACTGGATACAAAGTTGCAATTTTCTATCCACGGACATAACTATCTCACTTCCCTCGTACGGCCAACCAAATGAATCTGAACAATATTTTTTCTTTTTAACGATATTATACATCCAATTGAGAGAGAAAAACTTGAGCACATCAAGTGGATACAAAGTTGCATTTTGCTATCAAGGGAAATAATTATCTCACGTCCCTCGTACGGCCAACCAAATGAATCTGAACGATGTTTTCTCTTCTTAACGATATTATACATCTAATTGAGGAAGAAAAACTTGAGCACATCAACTGGATACAAAGTTGCATTTTTCTATCGAGGGAAATAATTATCCCACGTCCCTCGTACGGCCAACCAAATAAATCTGAACGATGTTTTTTCTTCTTAACGATATTATACATCTAATTGAGGAAGAAAAACTGGAGCACATCAACTGGATACAAAGTTGCATTTTTCTATCCACGGAAATAACTATCTCACTACCCTCGTACGGCCAACCAAATAAATCTGAACAATATTTTTTCTTTTTAACGATATTATACATCCAATTGAGAGAGAAAAACTTGAGCACATCAAGTGGATACAAAGTTGCATTTTGCTATCAAGGGAAATAATTATCTCACGTCCCTCGTACGGCCAACCAAATAAATCTGAACGATGTTTTTTCTTCTTAACGATATCATTCATCTAATTGAGGAAGAAAAACTTGAGCACATCAACTGGATACAAAGTTGCATTTTTCTATCAAGGGAAATAATTATCTCACGTCCCTCGTACGGCCAACCAAATGAATCTGAACGATGTTTTTTCTTCTTAACGATATCATTCATCTAATTGAGGAAGAAAAACTGGAGCACATCAACTGGATACAAAGTTGCATTTTTCTATCGAGGGAAATAATTATCTCACGTCCCTCGTACGGCCAACCAAATAAATCTGAACGATGTTTTTTCTTCTTAACGATATTATACATCCAATTGAGAGAGAAAAACTTGAGCACATCAAGTGGATACAAAGTTGCATTTTGCTATCAAGGGAAATAATTATCTCACGTCCCTCGTACAGCCAACCAAATAAATCTGAACGATGTTTTTTCTTCTTAACGATATCATTCATCCAATTGAGAAAGAAAAACTGGAGCACATCAACTGGATACAAAGTTGCATTTTTCTATCGAGGGAAATAATTATCTCACGTCCCTCGTACGGCCAACCAAATAAATCTGAACGATGTTTTCTCTTCTTAACGATATTATACATCCAATTGAGAAAATAAAACTTCAGCACATCAACTGGATACAAAGTTGCATTTTTCTATCCACGGATATAACTATCTCACTTCTCTCGTACGGCCAACCAAATGAATTTGAACTTCGTTTTATCTTCTCAGCAATACCATTCATATCTTCGAGAAAGAAAAACGTGAGCACATCAACTGGATACAAAGTTGCATTTTTCTAGCCACGGAAATAACTATCTCACTACCCTCGTACGGCCAACCAAATGAATCTGAACAATGTTTTTTCTTCTCAACGATATTATACATCTAATTGATGAAGAAAAACTTGAGCACATCAACTGGATACAAAGTTGCATTTTTCTATCCACGGAAATAACTATCTCACTACCCTCGTACGGCCAACCAAATAAATCTGAACAATGTTTTTTCTTCTTAACGATATTATACATCCAATTGAGAAAGAAAAACTTGAGCACATCAAGTGGATACAAAGTTGCATTTTGCTATCAAGGGAAATAATTATCTCACGTCCCTCGTACGGCCAACCAAATAAATCTGAACGATGTTTTTTCTTCTTAACGATATTATACATTTAATTGAGAAAGAAAAACTGGAGCACATCAACTGGATACAAAGTTGCATTTTTCTATCCACGAAAATAACTATCTCACTACCCTCGTACGGCCAACTAAATGAATCTGAACAATGTGTTTTCCTTATGGTATTACATTTAAATGAGCACATCAATTACATATTGTCCCTTCTGGGATCAAGTAAATGAATAATAGGTATGTATGTACGTTCTTTCAACTCCCCTAAATTTCACATCTCTTGGTGAAAAGAACATAGTGTACCTACACTAATATTAAAAACAGAAATGGGTTTATGATTTCCCTGGAAACAATTACCTACCCACTGTCCAATGTCTGATTGTTGCAGGGGTTCCTACTAAGTATTATCTTGTATTAGATACTTCTGTATACAGTACTATTCAACCAATGGAGAAATAGAGTATAATGACAAGAAGAATTTTACTGCCGAACATGGAAAACTGGCAACACTGTGAGGCGGTCGAATTTCTGTATCACATAAAATTTTCTACCTGTCAGAAAGTGTGGCTGGAAAAGTGTGGATAACTTCACACTGCTCCGACTAGCCAATTATATTAATACATTAATTGATGTTGATTGGTCTCTGACATTAAACAGACTCAGAAAACTCATTCTTCAACAACAAATATCCATCAGCATATAATTTTTACTGAAGCAGATACAACTAATATTTTAACACAGTATACTTCGTACTGATGTCCCCTGCAATTCTCCTGAACATTAATTTATATATTAGTTTTTAGTTTCGAAAAATCTATATTAACTGTATTTCTGTTATATATTATTCATGTAATTAGGCCAATAGGCCTGTGTGAATATAAATAAATAAATAAATAAATAAATAAATAACATAACAAAACAAGAGCCGTGGAGTTTTTTTTTCAAATGCATTTCTACAGCCGAAACCACAGTTTCAAACTATGTTTGAACATGCGGCAAGATTGCAAAAGTCATATTGATGCATCTCTGGTGCTTTCAAACCTGCCGAAAGCAAACTCTCGTGTTCCGCTGCTAACTTCTTATGGACAAAAATTCCAGGTAAACTTAAAATTCAATTCCTTTTGAAAATATTTTGCCCCATAATAATGTACCTACTGTTATTTCGTTTAGATCTTTGTCTTACTAGAGATCTACTTAAAGTTTCAATAAATACTCCATAATTATTTTGTGAACTTTGGAATCATTGACATTTTAATAATATATGCAATGAAAACGGGGTGTTTATGATAGCTATTAATTGTGGAAGAATCTATTAATATCTGATTTCATTTTCTTATTCAATTTGTATGTGGATGAATCACGTCTGCTCTTATTTCAAATTGCTTGAATAAGATTTAATGAAGTATAGTCTCTAATATCACCCTCATAATCATAATGTTTACATTAGTTGAAACATTAACAATCATTCAAAAATCCATCAAAGCCAATATAGAAATGAGATAAAGTGTACTTAAACTGATACCTAAACACATTTGCAGTGACATATGCCATGATATGGGCACAGTAATACAAAACCAGAAAATACAGGAATTCAGACCAAAAATACTATCGGAACATATATTTTTTACGAAATTCAGGTATATTCCTGACGGCAGAACTGTAAATTTACTTAATGAAAATAACAACACGAATGATGTTCAACCAATACAGCGTAAGAATATCAAAAAATTCGAAATTTAATAGGAGAAACTTTAATATGCGAGGTTTTGCAATTGCCGTTGAAAGAAGATAAAATCGCAATGAATGAACCTACACTGATTTATTTCCATATTGAATATTGAAAAAATTCCCCTCAAACTCTCACAATTATTCCATTTGAATTCCCACAATTCTGCTAAAATCCTCACAATAATACTCCTCTGATTTCCATTGAATACTGAATATCAAATTCCCGCAATTCCTATAATATTCACCCACTCGTACACCAAAATCCAATCTGAAATTTGTCTCGGTTTTTTCTAATCGTCTGCCAAAATTGAATAGTAAACGATTCTGTACTTTACTCAGGTTACCTTTGAGTTTTCTGTATTATATTTACCAAACAACCTCTGTATGATACCCAAAACTCACGATTTGATTTCATCTACTTCTCCTGACACTAATTTAGTCCCATTCATCCCAATCCCAGCTGATTCGTTTTCAACCAACTGTGATACAGTCTTCAGATCGCTCGTTTTTTCACCTTCGCCTTCCATGATTCTATACACTTAACAAACTGAAAGTTGATGTTCGATGACAAAACTAAGTACGTGCTCGAAAACGCGCCAATAACACCAAACACAATAAAAATTATGTATATTTTATGTAGTCTGTTCCTTTAGGGAAAGGAAACCACCTCGCGAATTCATCCAAATATCGTACATTTTTTCCGCGCTCGATGCAAAAACAACTTGAATGTCTCTCACGGCCGCCTTGATCTTGTATGTATCGGAATAACGAACCGCTGTCCAGTGACAGTAAAGGAAGTTCTACCTCCTCATTCATTTCGAAGCTTATAAAAGCTTATCTTTCGGACAATTTATTCATTAGCTCGAGTGTTGGGAAAATTATATCGGTTGTATTTACACGGAAAATTATGTTTGTAAATTTTAATCTTAACTATAATGTGAATTGTGAATGGTAAACAACAAGATAGATATGATTATTGATGGAAGTAAACTAGCAAACTGGTCTTGTGTTTTGAATGGGATATTATATGGGTATCACGAATTTGTGTCTAGGAAGCCAGGATTGCTAAAAAACACAATTTGAAAACTTTGAAACCTCATGAAATGATTACAATATCAGAAATAGCTCTGAATCGTTTCTAGGAAGTGTTAAATTTGTTCATTAAGTACTAAATATCCCAATTTCACAGAAATCATGTAAAATATTTCTCCATCTGAATTGAAATAGCTTTCAAATACTGTAGAATCAGTTCCAACCTTGAGAGGGTTATTGCCCCTGATACATTTCAATTTTCTCTAGTTTCTTCAGAAACAGGGCTTTCAGATGAAAAAGATTTCATTCACCCTGTATATAAGGTATTGCATTTTTGGAATAGGTACCGCACTAATCTAGCCCGAATATTTTTCAACATGGATTGTTGGAAAATAGCCCATTTCGGACTTCAATGGATTATATCGGCGGGTATCAATAAAATCTGTACATTCAAAAGTATATAGCCGACAAACGAGTCCGGAGACTTATGCTAATATTGATGACAATATCTCGGACTCCTCAAATCGTACATTATATCAAAAATTCAAGAAAATTAACCGATTCTTTTTCGAAATACAGGGTATTCATTAAAATAAAAACGTATGTTTTCAAGAAATTTGGATTGTATCTTTTTACTCACCTTATATATATGAAATGAGTATGCGACGTCAACATCAAAGAATGTCCGATATATATATATGACATGCTCTCCCCTTTCCGATTCAAAAAACTAGGGATTGACGTACCTTTATTTTCGAACCACACTGTATATATAAAAAATGTCAGTAAATTTCGATCGAGATTGAGGAAGTTTGTTCAGGCTCAATTGGATCGTTGATTTTCATGAAAGAACTCACCCTGGTTGGTTTAAAATTAATCGAATCGGATTTTTCTTTGTTCGCCCTGTTGTAGAGCCCAAAACGTAAAATTATAATGGATACGAGATCCAGATGAATTGTACCATCATTCAGGCATGTTATTCCATGAATAAATGGGCGTTTTGTCAATTCTCGGAGTTGTTAAAAATTTTGAGCAAAAAGCTTCACTTTTCATCTTTGACACCCTCTGTATCTCGAAAACTAGCGGATTTCTTTGTGCCTATGGACACTTATGCTTAGGAAGTCAAAATCTACATCATATCAAAAATTCAGGGAATTCAACCAAAAGCTATTTTCCACAAGGAAAGTGCGGGGTCCTTTGCATTATTGAGAAGTGACTTTTTGACAAAAATCCTCAGTTTTCATGAAAACATATCCAGGGCTCTGTTTTTTTCAGGAAAATTGATCTTCAGGCACTGAAAAGGACTTATTTCACGACTTTGCTTCCAGGTAGCTGTTGAATTTGGCTCCCCATGTGAATAATATTTTGATGAAACTCCGTAGTCGGATTTTTTAGATATGGGCAAATGAAATATTATAGAACTAGTCCGATCGACAAAAAACTGATGTCAAACCTCATGATATATGTATCAGATATCAGATAACTCTAAACCGTTTATAAAACATTCCCTTATTCGATTTCACTTTTGTCTACATTTCGCATACATTTTTTATGGAGAATTCTTATACAAACAGAAGTTGTTTGAATAATTGTGATTGCAAGAAAACTCGAAAATGGCAGTTGAGTTCCCACAATTGACAGCCGGACAGGACTCGAACGACTGAACGTGTGTTTAAAAAACTCTGTTGCCATGGTAATGTGTCCAAGAAATTGTGTTGTCATGGTAACGTGTTTAATTTTTTGAATAAATCACAGATCTCAATCTGTGATCAATAAGAGTGGTACATATCCGTACGCTAAATGTCATTTTAGTTATGTGAGTAGAAAAAACCTTATAAGCCGCTGTGATTTTGTCATTATGACAGCGAAAAACCATTGCCCAAAGTTTTCCAGCGATAAATCAACTCCTACACGGAAAACGTTATTTCACGACGACGTGTCATTTTGACATCGATAAAAAAGGATGCACCTTTTTTATCGCTGGTAAACGGCCTGCTCCTTCGATCTGGTATAGCTATTTGCGCTTGATGTCATAAAAACTGCCAACAATTTTTTTCCCTTTCGTTTCCAGGAAAATAAATTCTCATTGTAATCTCAAGTTAAATTCGACAAAAAAAAATTCTCGTGTATAAGTGATTAAAACAGCATCCAACATCATTCTTCCTACTTTTCCTCATACAATTTTACTACTCGAATCTAGAAGAAATTAATGATGTTATTCTCAAAATTTGGATGGTTGAAAATGGAATATTCAGTATTTTCTGTTTATCATTACTATATCGCCAACATTGAAAAAATAGTCATAACTCCAATATCCTGTGTATCATATACGAATCAAGTTAGAACATATATTTGTATGTCTTTTCCTAAAATATGACAAGGATTCTCCTTGCTTTTGTCAGATTTTTTCAATTAATTGAGCTGTGATTTTATGCAAATAGAAGTAAACCTACCATACTTTACGATACCTTGTGATCTCAACTTCTTTGTTTGAAACCATTACTCAATTTCCAGTCAACATCGATGGACCAACAATGAATGAACAGCTAATGCAAGAACTGCTTTTTATCTCTTGGAGCGCACGAACGGGAATCCCTATAATGCTCGAAAAAAATCGTGATTATTGGGATGATAGGGATAGAAGGAATAGGTATTGGATTTTTTTAAACAGGGTGTCTGTACAGTGTGTCCAGTTTTCGATGCTTTTGTGTGATATCTCAGTTATCTTTCGAGATAGAACCTTGCGGTTCTCGCGGTCCTGTACCACTTTTCTGTGAAACTCAAGATGGCCTAATCAGATTTCGCATAACTGTTTGCGTTTATGAGATACAGGGCGATTTTGAAAATTTATACTTTTTGGACCCCCTCTATATCTACGAAGTTTCTCAGCGAAAATGGCAATTTTTTTTTTCTGGGTATGGTTTCGGAGATACGACTCAAACTTATGATTTTTCAAATGGAACACCCTGTATTTTATAAGCTCAATAAATTCCTTATTTTTTCCCCATCGAAATGAAATATGATGAATATGTATAAAATTTCCAAAAATGCTCCAAAATCACTAAAACATTGAATTTTAATAGTGGGCTATGGATTTTTCACTTAAAACAAGTTCCAATTGAAGAATATTTCAATTGATTCTTCCATGAAAAGGACAAAAACAATCCCAACACTAGTTAATTGAGATAACACAAAAATTAGGTACCTGATAGCAACAAATGAATGGTAATAAAAAGCTCATATTCTAGAATAAGCACCTGATTTAATATTCACTAAGACAATTGAATTTCGAAATTAATCAGTAACTTATTCATTGAATTGTTCAAATTGATATCCACTTTCCCTCACATGCTTTCTCAATACGTCTTAATGCATTCAAAATCATAATGTTGTTGCAAGAAGTTCTTAAAGATATTTGTGACTTTTACTGTATCGAGACGTATTGAGAAAATATGTCAATTGTGTGTTATGGAAAATGGACATCAATTTGAACAATTCAGTGAATAAATTATTGAATAATTCCGAAATTCGATTGTATTTGTAAATATTCAATCTGGTGCTTATTCTACATTATGAAATTTTTATTACTATTTATTTGTTGCTATCAGGTACATAATTTTTGTGTTTTCTTAGTTAATTAGTGTTGGTATTGTTTTTGTCCTATACAGGGTGTCCCTAGACCAGTGGGACAGTTAAATATCTTCTGAACCAATAGGAATTTTCAGAATATTATAATCTCACATCATATCGCATTATGAGTGCTAACTTCAGGAATGACTATATTTTATACGAGGGGCACAAGAAAGGCTCACAAAATCGAACATCAATATTTTCAAATGGAACACCCTGTATTCCATTGCATTTTCATATTCTCCTTGAAGAGCTGAGTTCAACGACCTAGCACACTTGGGGTCTAGCATGAATGATTTCCGAGATATAGGGTGTGGAAAATCGCGATTTTTCATTTTTGGGAATTTTTTGTGTCGAAACTATTCATTATTGGTCAAAACGGCTTACATGTCCATATTTTAACTTTTGATTTACTATTTACTAGTATTTAATCGAAACAAATACAGGGTGGTGTCGAATTAACAGTTTCAGTCAGAATTCTACACCACCCTGTATTTGTTTCAATTGAATACGAGTAAATAGTAAATCAAAAGTTAAGATATGGACATGTGAGCCGTTTTGACCAATAATGAATAGTTTCGACACAAAAAATTCCCAAAAATGGAAAATCGCGATTTTCCACACCCTATATCTCGGAAATCATTCCCGCTAGACCCCAAGCGTGCTAGGTCAGTGAATCCAGCTCTTTAAGGAGAATATGAAAATGCAATGAAATACAGGGTGTTCCATTTGAAAAAAATGATGTTCGATCATGTGAACCTTTCTTGCGCACCTCGTATAAAATATAGTCATTCCTGAAGTTAGCACTCATAATGCGATATAATGTGAAATTATAATATTCTGAAAATTTCTATTGGTTCAGGAGATATTCAACTGTCCCACTGGTCTAGGGACACCCTGTATATGGAAAAATCAAAATGAATATTTCTTCAATTGAAACTTTTTTATAAAAAAAATACATAGCCCACAATTAAAATTCAATGTTTCAGTGATTTCAGAGCATTTTTGAAAATTTCATATACATAAATCATGAATCATTTTAAAGAGAAAAAAATAAGGAATTTTATGAGCTCATAAAATACAGGGTGTTCCATTTAAAAAAACATAAGTTTGAGTCGTATCTCCAAAACCTTACCCCGAAAAAAAAAATTCGAGTACGCCACTGGATTCTGCGTAAACTCTCATATGGGATGAGATTTAAATTTGACATTTTTGCTGAGAAACTTCGTAGATATAGAGGG